AAAGCATAATTTTCAGGCCGGTTATTTGCTTCCAAAAACTTTACCATCTGAGTTAGCAACTCACTGTTCACGTTCCGTTTCCGACTCACCAGTACTTGATCCGAATGCACCTCCTGACACAAAAAATTCAAATACCGAAAACATTTGAAGACAAACGCCGTGATAATTATGATCGTGGGCAGGCAGAATTGGATCGTCGTCGTCAGGCATTACGTGAAGAGGTTTTTATTTAAATTAGTAAATCTTTGTTGAACCAGTGTGAGATCTTTTTGTGGGGATTTCTGGTACCAGATAATCACTGCATTACCTTTTTAGGAAGAGCGACGTCGTGCAGAATTTGAAAAGAAAGAACGAGAAATGGCAGAAAAGAGAGAGCGAGAAAGAGAGGAAGCTGAAAGGAAACGACAGGCTGAACGTGAAGCGGAGTTAGAACGTGAACAGAAACGCGAAGAAGCTCGTCTAGCGGAAGAAAGGCGTATCTTGGCAGAAAAAGAGAAAGCTAGGAAAGAAATGGAAAGGCAGCGAAAAGCTGATTTGAATGCTATAAGAATTCGAGAAATCAAAGTAAGATAACCTAGTCGATGTGGTTTTGGCTTAGGCCAACAAATGGTGTAAGAGGAGAACTCTTTGGCATGTTTATTGCAAGGGTTGGCCTTAAAAAGGCTAGAGCCGTTGAATGAGGTAAAAAGAACGAAGAATTATCGTTACCAACAACATGTTTTACATATGCATTTCTGTGGATTTAAAGAACTGCTAAATTTTAGGCACAACTTCAAAATGAGGTGGACAACACCCTGGAACGACAACAGCGTCAGAAAAGTTTATCCTTCCAACTTCAAGCTCTCGACGAAAAGGCAACAGATTTGAACGTCAACATTACACAAGTATTTTGCATCTGCTTCTTTTTTTTTTTTTTCTATTCTACTTCCCGTAGTTTCAACTTTGTTCTGCAATGAAAAACATAATTTGGTGGGCTAAGTCGTGTGCTTCACAGTGCTATGAGATATGCAGCAAGGCACTGGTATGAGATATTAACCAAGATATTTTTATCCATATTCTGTTAGAAGAATAGTCAATTTAAATGTAACTCATATTGAATGAATGTCATATTTTGAGTGAATTTCACACTTTTATGACTTCTATCGCTTTTTTTATACGCTTCTAGTATTTGCATAATATCTGTTTCTAAAGCGGTTGTTAGCCCCTTCATTTACATTACTTCTATCGAATTTCAATTATTTTGCAGGCAAGAGATCTAATTGTTGGTATTACAAAAGAAATAGAATCAATGAAAATCAAACGTGATGAAAAAGCAGAAAAGATTCGATCACTGGAAATAACGAAGCAACAAGTAAATTAAACAAGTAAATCAACAAGTAAAGCAGCTAAATTTCCTTGTGTTCGATATGAAATTCTCTGGGGTTTCAGAAGTTTGGGACTGTGAAGATATCATATTTAGCAAAAGGTGTTTATTTCAAGTGTTCAGAACTATTCGTTATCTGTTCTCAGAGTTCCAGAATGACCTGTAGGAGATTTGAGAATTTTGAAATTGATCGAAATACAAAATGTTAGCTGTATTTCAGTTAAGCGTGCAGTATGAACGACTGGCACACGAAAGTCTTCAAATGCAGGTGGAATGTCGTAATAGAGCGCAAAAGGCCGAGGATCTCGAACAGGCAAAAAATGCAAAACAGTCCTTGACTGCTCAGTTATCTGCTTTGAACAAGCAACTGAAGGATGCAAATGAACGAGCAAGGGTCCAGCAACAATTGGTTACCAAAGTAATAAAATTTTAAATAATTTTACTTCGTCAGATTTTTTCAGTTTTGTTTTCTTACATTGTTTTCTTTATGAAGAATGAATAAGATTTTAGAAAGCAGAAGAATTCAATGAATGTACCTTAAAATTGACTCAGCTTTCAACGTTGCATTCTCGGTTGTACGAACAGATCAAAAATTTAAAGCCGAAAGTAAATACTATAGTTTCTGGGCAAAATGGTAATGTACCGAATGCTGTAACAACATCTTTATCGAATCATCCAGTTGACAAATCTGCATCAGTTGATTCGAGTATGTTTTATAACTAACTCGCCTTTACCAAATATGAATCATCGTGGATTTGTTTTTGATTTTTAATGAGTTCCATGGATTAGAGATATTTGAAAGTTGTCAGTTTTTTAGAAAGCGTGACTAATGGAGCAATGCAACAGTTTCCCGTACCCAATAGTTCATTGCCAAAAGGAAATGGTGCTACTGGTGCAGTGAAATATCGTGCACTGTATGAATTCACCGCACGTTCAGGTACATTTTTCAAATCTTTATCACTTTTTGTTCATTTTCCCACATTTTTGTTTTCGTACATCGCATACCATCATGTCTCGACTTCTGATTTAGCAGTAATTTTGAGGAAGTCTGACTGGGATTTGTAGATGACGAGCTTAGCTTCCAACCAGGAGATGTTATCCTTGCATTTGAAAATCATGCTGCGGAACCGGGCTGGTTAGCTGGACAGATGCGCGACAAAGTGGGATGGTTCCCCGTAGCATTTGCCGAACCGATGGTACCTGTCAGTGCTGTTCCTACGCAGGTAACGCTTCAAGTTATTTGAGTAGCTCAGTAGCTATTTGATTTCTATCGCTCTGTCATATTTTATTTAGTAGATCAGATTGAATCGGAATTCCAGAAATGCTGTTTCAGCCGCCGCAAACAGTATCATCGGTTACAACTTCTCCATCAAGTGAACCGTTGCAGAGCATTGTAGAGGAACCGACCGCTTCTGTTGTTAAATCAGGATCTTTCGGTGCTTCGCCACCGGGTAAATATTGTTACTTTAATAAGGCTGTTCATCATCAAGCTTTGCAGTTATTTTTCGTGACATTCTATGAACTTAAAATTGATGGTTAAGTACTTTAAAATAAAAGTGCTAGATTTGATTTAGCACAGTTTTATATTTATCAGTCCTTATATCATCTGTCTTACTATTATTCATTTTCTTTCTAGAGCAAGAAAAACAGTTACCAGTTCTGGGTGCAGCAGTTGCGTTGTATCAGTGGAAGGCAAGAAATGATAATGAGTTGAGTTTTTCGAAAGGCGATACCATCGAGATTCTGGAACAACTGGAAATGCGTTGGAAGGTCAAATATTAAATAGCGATTGCATGATTAGTGTTTCTCCTGAAAATGGCTAGAAGTTTTCTGTAGTACGAATGGCGATAAGAAATCTGAGTATCAGAACTGCCGAAATCGTTAGAATTATGGATTTGGGATATTTTGGGACATTTTTTCCGTGATTTAGATCCATAATTTTTGGAACTTTAACATTGTTCTCGTGTATCCCTAATTATTTTGCACTTTTCAGGGTCGTAATAAGTCTGGCTCAGTTGGCTGGTTCCCTAAGTCATACGTGTCAATGTCAGGTGGAGATGCTAAGGTCGATTTGAAGGACAATTTAGCAAAAGATCAAGTTGAAAAATCAAAAGAATCCGTCGGAAAAGATGCTTCTGCACCTTCATCTACACCCTCAGCTGCTCCAATATATGATGTTGTTACAGGTACGTTTTTTTAATCCTTTACTTTTTGTTTTTAAATGTTAATACACTCGGATTTTGATTCACATATGTATTTTGTAAAAGCGTTGCTCCGAGATGGTGCCTTTCTTTATAATCTTTGAAATATCATTATTTGTGTGGCAGAAGCGCCGGTTGAATCGACATCTGGCGAATGGTACGTGGCATTATATGATTTCCAAGCAATGGAACCAACAGATCTCGATTTGCATGCGGGTGATCGTATACTTGTTACGGAAGCGATCAATGAATGGTGGAAAGGAACTTGTAATGGGCGAGCCGGGATTTTCCCTGCAAATTATGTGCAAAAATGTCCGCCTTTGTCGGGCAGTATATCGCAGTCAGGTAAAATTTCTTGTTCTTAATGCTACAGTCATCTGTTTTCGTTTTGTGAAAATGGTCATTGGCATTATCAAGTTTTGATGCAAATGAATCAATGAAAGCAAATTTAGAAGGTGCAGACTTTGGTACAGGTAGAGCTATTGCTGATTTTGAAGCCACGGCGGACAACCAGTTATCCCTGAAAGTTGGTGATGTGGTAAAAATCCAAAACAAATCATCTGGTTGGTGGCAAGGCGAGGCAAGTTGCATACTGCCTTTCTAAAATTTTCTAGATCGCTCACTCCCACTTTCTTTCTCTGTGTGTAAGAATTGCAAGCCAAAGTTTTCAGTTGAAGCAGTAATATTCATGGGTTTTTTAGTAAACAGAAAGGGAGAAAGGAAAATGAGGAGTCAAACGGAATCCTAAAAAGCAGGAAGATTTCCCATGGAAAGGTAAATCTTGAAGTTAATGAGGAAAAATCCTTTCTCTGACTTGTGTCGAGTGATTAGTCTTAATCGGAATTGCAGAAGGATGTAGGATGGATTAGTGTTCAGTTCGAGTGCCAACCTCAACTTCACATATTAATACAGAAGTAAAAATTTTGCAGATTGTTTCCGATGGTGGAGCTAAAAAACGTGGTTGGTTCCCAGGTAATTATGTGGAAGTCTTGGGTGGAAATGAATTGAAAGCGGAAGCCTTATATGATTACCAGGCGCAGCGTGATGATGAATTATCTTTTAAAGCCGGTGATATCCTAATAGTTACTGATCAGAGTGATGGCGAGTGGTGGAAGGGACGTCTACTCAACGATAACAGTAATACTGATGCACTCTTCCCGGGAAATTACGTCCAGTTGCGGTAAGTTATTTTTTATTTCTTCCAGTTATGCGTCACCTTCCGGACACTTCGATGAAATCTTGGGAGTACTTATTCAAAATTCTGTGCGTTTCAGCGAAACTTCTCCAAGTTGAAGAGCGCATTGACTTGTTGGAATTTGAACTGAATTTTAAGATTAAGAAGTTTAAGTCTTGATGTTATCGAGTGAAATGATGTTTTAATATGAAAAATTAGATCTCTAACCAGAAGAATCAAAAGAATTTTAATCCGCACTTCGATTTCATCTTTTTAAACTTACTCTCAATTGTAGTATTATTTCATATGGATGTGCTTAACCTTTAAGTGCTAAGGATGAGAGTGTATGACAAAGGTAGTCTTAAGTTCGTTAGGTAAGGTTAAATTATGAAATCATATCCACCGAATGAGTTTGAAAAGTGCTTTTCATATTTTAAAGGAAGTAATTTTATTTTGTGATGGAATTTTCTTTGCTACTTATTTGTACGTTTAATGGGTCATTGAGAATATTCAGTTATACTTTCTGCGCTCATTTCTTTTACATTTTACTAGCTTGCTACCGTAGCTTAGTTTCTACGAAGTAAAATCCCGAGGTGAAGTTGATTTCAATTTGGTTATATCGTTGATACATTTTTCTTTTTTTCCAAAAAAACTGTTTGCCATCTTGCACTATGCTTCATGGTATAGCTTTCCGTATGTTATTAGCTCTGGTGACGGCCACCTTCTGCACATATTCCATGGCATTAACTTCTTCCTTTGTTCCGAATGAATCGCATTTGAAAACGTAATGTTCGAAACACTAAAAACTTTGGTTGTTTGAATTTGATTAAACTTGCCAGATCTTGAGGCGATGAAACTTTGCAGGCAGTAAATATATCTTTTCTTCCATCATTCCGGTCGAATTTAAATGCGTTACTTCTCCGGAACTTTGAATTTATTTCTACTTAATTAGCATCGTACTCGTGTAATTCATTATTATCGAGTCAGGTAGAAGTCATCATTTCATCAACGCCTAATATTTATTGGTTCGAGATATATCTGTAAAGGTAGGTAATTATTTTAATTTATCACGATAGAAAGTACTAATTCTACGTATGCTGAATTTGTTTTGTTACTGGATTATTAATCAGTTGTTCTGGTATAGATATAATAAATATGTAACGATTATATAAAAATTATTCATTAGCACTATTTTTCTTTATAGTTTAAACTTTGAAAGCTCTACCAAAATTGTATTTTGAATTTTCGAATTGGATTCATTTCTTCTTGGATTTTCCTCTCTTTTTTATGCTTTCCCTTTTCTTTCTCCTTTAGCAATTTTTTGGTTTTCCTTCATTCTGCATCAAATAGTACATTTGTATAGTACTGTTACTTTTATATCTGCACAATGTTTCTTTATGTGAATAATTCTTTTCCTTTCATTATATGGTAGGAAATCAGTGCATGATTTTTATTTCTCATTCTGGTCTCATAATTTTTCTGTCACAAAATTTATTTTGTTATAAGTTTAAAAGTTACTTTCTGTTGTATTTCGCGGAGATTTGAATCCCGTCAGAAATGCTATCACTGACCTGATTTGATTGTTAAAAGTCTGAATTTTTGAATTTGCATAATCACAATCTGTAAACATATTTATATATATGGTCGCTTAGATCCTTCACAATGTTATTTATGTTGAGGGACTAGAACTTTTTTCATTCTACCTTGTATTATCACATTAACTACTTAATTACTTGTTGCTTGATTCAAGTTTCAGGTAGTCAGGGTGGTTATATTCATTGCAATAAGTTATTGTCCTGTATATATGCTTTCATATGCCATTTCGCTTAATTTATTGAAAAAACTTAGTTGCACTGGCAAGGTTGTTGCAGGCAATGCTGCAAAATAAATTCCAAAATGCTGGGAGGAAGATCAGAAGCATCTCGAATTTTGAAGATTTTTAAATTCAATAAATTTAAGAAGATTGCAGCTGCTTACAACAGTTGGGTTTCACCTGGCTATGTTTTAGTGCTAAGGTTTTTACCTAATTTACTTCTTAAAATCATATGAAGCAATGGCATACCTGTGCATATTTCACAGTGGTCAAGAAATTAAAGGTTTAAAGATGAAAGAAAATCAGAAATTTTCTTCCTTGATTTGGGATTTTCAAAGTTTCAAATATTTTTATTTCTACGAACCCACTGACACCTCTTTCAAATCTCATTTGTTGCTCTCTTGAAAGCATATATTTGGTGGAATAAATTCTTAAATAGTTTTATATACTGTGCCACTGCTTAAAACTATTAATTGTGCATCGCTTTCCTCTGGATTTGCTCTTTTAGGTATGCATTACACTTCAGGCCAATGTGCTGGTAATAAGATCTGGATCGTCTCCTCTGTACGACCATTAATGTTCCAAAGTCGTGTTGAATCTGTACTTCCTTTTTTTTTATATCATATAGGAAAAGCAGTAGCTTGGGCTACACTAACATTGATTAGGTCATTAAAGAGTGTTCAACAATGGGGAGTTTCCACTGCAAGAGAGTAAGCAAAATTTTATCCATTTCTTATCTTGGTTCTGTTATATGGCTTGGAGGTAAAACATTTCGGGATATACAAATCTAAAATTCCCAGATTCTTTTTTAGAATCCATTTTTGGTAGATGTCCATCGATTTTTACCTTTTTTTCCCTGTCGATTCAATCTGGAAAATAATGCAATAGCATTATCAAAAATCAGCAGCAAGTTGTTGCGATCATTCATTCATCGCTCAAATGTATGTTGCATCTGATCACGTGTAGTACAGCGAAAGGAAGCTTTCGATACCGTTAAACTGTGACATAAATCTGAAATTGATAAATTACCAAACACTCTATAGAAGTGTAATACAAACCTACAAAAATGATGTTACGAGGGGAAGGCGTGCACAGTTTATGTTCCCATTTATTAGTTTTATCATTTATTTCACTATTTTCATAGTCTTAAATTTTTTTCTGAGAAATCTGGACTAAAATTGCTATGCTAATGCCGTAAGGTGAAACTGTTATTTTGCATATTTTTCATTTGTAATTTGAAAGACAGTGGACTAATACAGATAAATTCTACGTTAATGAAAATTGATTTTGTACAGCATTCAAATGAAAAAGGTGTGCACGTTACCAGAGCGAAGCATACTGTAGAAGGATTTGGATGGATGCTATCAAACAAAAAAGTGAAGATCGAGTTTTAAAATTTCATAAATTGACGTGTTGTTCACTTTGAGACTGTTTCGGGAAAAAATTTGTGGATTTGAGGGGATCGACGTGATTTTTGTAAAAGTCAATTGATTTTTCGAGATTCAAGCCTAGATTTTAGAATTTCTAGATATTGTTAGATTTAAAGATTTATTGGGTGCATTTATATCGTAATGCCTTTTCTGGATGCATCCTAGAAATCCGGTATTTTGTGAATAAGTGGACATTCGGCAAGAGGAAGAGTGAGACGACGTAGTTTGGATTCTCATTTATCATATCGATTTTGGCGAATTTGTGTCATTTGTATTTCCTCTTTTCCCATTTGAAAATGTAAGCACTGCAAATTTATGCAAGTGTTAAAGTACGATGGAACGGTGATCTGCTTAAATATGTTTTCTTCAATGATCCACCTTCCTTTAATTATCAAATGCTGGAGAGGTGAGTAAATTTGCATAAAAATTATAGATGGATAGTAAAGCACAAATATGGAAGTTGGAAGTTGGCGTATGATTAGGTGTATGATTAGTTTCAAGATTGGATCTAATAACATTTTATGTTTTCGAGCATTTCCGCATAGATTCACAGTTCTATTTGTTTTTCTGCTTCAACTTTTAAACGTTTCATTCTTATATTTAAATTTCAAATAGGATGAGGCAAAATTGCATAAAATCGAGATAAATCAAACGATCTTGATCAAGTAGAAGAATATGAAGTGTTGCAGCATGTAGTTTTATGATTGAAAAGTATTATTTTCTCTGATATTCCCTTTCTAATTTAACATACATATTACACGTGAGTCATGACATGAAACTTGGTGCAATATATTGGATTGGATATGCTGTAAACTGGAAAAGCAGAGGAGCCTGAATGGTTTTGTTATGATTACATTTTCATTTGGCATATATCAGCATTAAATGAATTGATTAGATATAATTTATTCGTGTACAGAAGCTAAATTGTCTTTGTCTATCTTTTGATTTCACAACAGTATGAAATGTTATTCTGATAGTTTAATCATATTTGTTGGATGACAGGTAAAAAAGATGATTGGATGTCAGGATTTGTGGTTAGAAACACGTGGAAGTTACGTTTGACAGTATATCAGAACTTGATTTTTCTCCCAACGAAAGATGTATGAGGATGTTTAGTTTCTTTAAATTTTGCTGAATTCAAGAGGAAAATCAATATTAAATCCGTCGTCACTTCATTGACCAGTCATATCTGTGGTGCTGATGTCGTGTTTTATTCGTTCAAGGAAGTTACGTTTGAATATTTGAACATGTTTGATGATTATTTAATGATTCAGCAAAAGTGTGCAATCAAGCAACGAAGCATCTCTAAATCTAGTGACGTCATTGTATAGTCCAGTTGTTGCAACCACTGATCAGTATTCCACCGCTGCTTTTAAATGTGAAAAAGTTGTAAAGGTATGCTTATTCTTGTTTTGTTATTATGGTTATTTATCTTCTTATTCTACCTAATTGAAGCTTACATTTGTTTATGGGTTGAAGTTAGCTTAGAACGCGAGGATGTTTATCAGGCTTACATATGATGTAGTACGTTTCGAATTAATGGAAACATTCAAATGCTTCTTTTTTCTTATATCAGTATTAGTTGAAGCCACTGTATACTTTGACAAAAAAAAAAAAAATACTACCATTACATGAAAAATATCATTTTTCAGGAATTGTTGGATACAGAAGTGAAATACTCCCATGATCTAACACAGTGCTATGAAGTATTCTCTCAAGGGTTACAAGGCATAATTAGTACTAGTTTTGCAAGCCAATTATTTTTAAATTTCAAACAGCTCATTTTGGTATCTACTTCTATTGCTAATGCACTTAAACGACAGTCACCTGGTCAGTTCCTTTATCCTTTTTTTTTCCAAAATCTTCTTTAATTAGTGGGAGAGATCTAGTGGACGTTAATTTAAGCAAATCTTTTTGTATGAAAAGGAACCGATTGAAATCGAGAGTGATGTAGGCTTAAATTTGAGTTGAACAAATGAATGTCATTTCATGTGTTTTTCGGCTCGTCCTAAATTGTGAACTGGTAGTTAGGATAGGGATTTATTGTTCAGCTAGTAGAATTCTGTTCAAAATTTTCATTCTATTTCTTTCTCTTTAATCGTTTTTTCTCTTTTCAGTCAATCTTTTTTTCGAATTCATAGTAGTGAATTTCTGTACCTTTGAAGAAATCTCTTGGGCATTTATGCAGTGATCATAACAGTGTATTTTTTGAGGTGATGTATTTGTGGAAAATTTTGATTTACTTCGTGCTTATGTTGAGTTTTGCTCGAAACAACAAGCAGCGTTGGAAATGCTAAACGAACTTGAGCACAACAACGTTTCTTTTAGACAAGTATTTTTTTCCTTTTTGATTTTTCTTTTTTAACTTGCCATTATCTATACCACAGTTTTCGATTTTTCAAAATCACTTTATTTTAGGCGTATCGTTCATGTTGTATAAAGACGAAAGGGATAAACTTTAGTTACTTTTTGCTCTTACCAATGAATCGCATTACTCGTTATCCGTTAATTTTTGAAAAGCTTGTCAGATATACGGATCCGGGTGATCCTAAACGCAAGGTTATAAACTTTATATTTTTTCTTCCCTTCTTAGGTTTTTTATTTTTCTAGAATTCATGAACTTTACCATTTTCTCTGAAACAAATATTTTTTTATCTAGAATCTTGAAAAAGCGTACGAGATGTTGAAGTCACTATGCATCGAAATTAACGATGTCATTAGTGCGATGGATAGTTCCAGCATGCTTATTTGGGCCCAGCAACATATACATTGTGAAGCTATACAACCACCTATTGTCTTCCCTTCTGCTACACGGTGCTTTGAAGTTTAAATTTAGATTTAAAAATATGCTTGAAAAATTATGGAGTCAAAAGATACATCTGCTTTTGATTTTTATTAATTTTCTCATTAATTCCAGCAAAATTGGACCGCGATGTCTCCTACATTCTGGAGCTTTACAGAAACAGTTAAATGGGAAAATATTAGTTGCTCTGTTATTCAATGATTTCTTGATGCTAACAACACCTACAGAACCAATCGAACAGGTTTTAGCATTTCGTTTCTCCTTTTACGAGTAGCTATACTGTTACAGTGATTCAGAGTTCGACTATAGAAGGGTAGCTGACTGTAGGTATAAGTGGGAACTAAAAACAGTATTAAGCTTTTAATCAGACGGTCATGTAGCATACTGGACAACAATTAATGGAAAATTACGAGCTCATATCATATCAAAAGGACGTAAACACCTTATAAATTGCGCACTGTTGGAAGTACAAAACGTAGATGTAGTAATAATGAGAGTATAGCAAGTTAGAATTCCGGAAATTTCATATAATTTCATTATAGCTGGAGGAGTTCAGGATCTCCAAAACAACTGAATTGCAATTAAATCTTTACAAGACACCTTTGTTATTGGAAAATGCTAAAATTACGCAGAATAAGGAAATGGATGACTGTTCGTTTGAAGTTCGCTCCGGTTAGCATTTTCTGGACTTTCCGGATTTTCATCCTTGCATACTGTCATCTTGTAATTTTCAGCTTGTTACTTCAATATTTTATGATTTCTGGCGTGTTATATTAATATTTACTCCCCTGGATTTTAGGTGAATTTTCCGTAATATTGCGTGCACCAAATCGAAATGCTCGATTATTTTGGACTGCACAAATTGAGAAAGCCATTAACGAGTACCATAATCAGTGCCTACTGGCAAAGGTTTTCTATATTCTGCATAATATAAACAGATATAACAAATATCAGTTTAAAATGGGTAAAACTTTTTACTTTATAAATTTTCGGGATTTATCAGACTTCTTGTGTAATCAACTATTTTTCCAGAAACCGTCGATATCTTGTGATACATCTGAACAAGGTCGACTTTTCGTGGAACTGGTCTGCATACTAAACGTGGACAGTTCATTAAGATTACTGGGAACCCAGTCAATACTGTGCAAATTTCAAATCGGTCAATCGTCAACCTATGCTGACGTTGATATAAACAAAAAGGAGCATCTTTGTACGACACAATTGCCTATCTATAAAACTGCTTATGATGATTTTTTTGAAGTAGCAATTTTCCTCAACCGAATCTTTTCGCCAGATCTTTGTGCAGGCATGTTTGGCATGATTTAATCATAACTGAGATATACTTTACCTATTGGTTATTATCATGTTTGAATCAGTTCTTCTCTTGAAGGGATGGAATTTATAATTTCTTCAAGGACAACTACTCCTGCCTACTTTTCCCGTATTCCATCCATTGTTTTAACTATTAACAATTAGCCCATCATAGTGGAGGTGTATAGCTTGCTAACCTTATATGAAACAATTTTTGCGTAATTCGTTGTCCATTCTTGTGCATGGCATCTTTTGTTTATCATCTCGTTGGATATGTAAACTGTTTTTATGAAGTCTTTTAAAACGAAGAAACTATTATCTGTTTTTTCTAATTAACGTGAAGTTTAAAATATTTCCATATTACAAAGCTTGAAAGTAACCGGAAAATTTAGTATACGCCGTTCATTAATATATTTTGAAATTTTTAGGCAGCAGCAGAATTGCAATGGCCGATCTGTTGACGGCTGCAACAATGCATCGTGGTCCAATGTCGAAGCAGTTTGATTGTGAGTCAGGCGATATAGCAAATTTACGACCTCGTGTAATTCTCAAATTCGTTGTACAATTATTTTATTGAATCCAATAAATCGTTTCTAAATATCTGTTTATTAAGTGCTATGTGAATATCATTGATCGCCCTCTTCGGTTTCATTAATAGATTTTTGATTCATAACTGTTGGTTCTGGACGGAAGAGATATAAAATTTTATACTTTGAATTTAAATATTCTGAATTTGATTGGGTTTAAATCGAATTCGACGGATAAATATGGCTGGGAAAGTTGGAAAGAAAAGCGAGGCAAAAGGAGGCGATAGTCTTGAAATCGCATCGGAAATAACATTTGACGAATTATGAGAATATATTAGCGTATTGCGGTCGTAAATTAGTTAAAAAGCTGATTTAAAGAGAAATTAACATTGTTGAGATATGCTACCTGGATGGCCTCTCATAACAGTTGGAGCAATCATAGCTCTGTTCATGGCGTTTGCTTTACATCATATCGAAGAAGGACATGTTGGAGTTTATTATCGAGTATGTATCTTAATTGTCTAATTAGTAAATTTCTGGTGTTAGACTGAAATTCCCTTTCCCTTTGTTTCTCAAATTTTCATCAAAATATTGCTTTCAAATTACTTTTGTCATGTTTTTTATTTTTCATTTCATTTTTAAATATGATTTGAACTTTGCATTTTATTCTTGAAGGGAGGTGCTCTATTAAGCCGTGTAAGTCAACCAGGATATCATCTAATGTTCCCGTTTTTTACAACATATAAATCAGTGCAGGTCACCTTACAAACTGACGAAGCCAAAAATGTACCTTGTGGAACAAGGTAAGTCTTGAATCCTCATTTTTGTCTTTCCTGATCATCTTATAATAAATTTCTATAAATTGGACATAAATAATTCGTCGTGGTGTTCCAGCAGTAATGGGTTATTCTCTTCATTACTAACTAATTTATAAGAGAGCAAAACATATTTTGGAAAGTTAACCAAGTAGGCATCACCTTTGGTTATGGATATGTTCAATAGGAACTTTGGATGGTTGATGCTATCTTTTTTTTCCCAGATGGATGATAATTTCTTTCAAACAGTAGTGATGGCTGACTAAATAATTTGTTAATTTTTCGAGTTTAAGAAGACATTTCACTTGAACTTTCATTTCAGTGGTGGTGTCATGATTTATTTTGACCGAATTGAAGTTGTAAACATTTTATCTTCATCAAGCGGTAAAGGAATTTTTCTGATTTATCATCACTTCTTAGTGGATTTTTTTTCGACCATATGCTGGAATTATAGCTTTTTTTTTTTCTTCTTTTTTGATCTTGTTTTTACGCATAAACATTGAATACCTTTTTTATCTTCATTCAGTTTTGGAATTGCAGTTTACGATATTGTAAAGAATTACACGGTAGATTACGACAAACCATTAATATTCAACAAAGTTCACCATGAAGTGAATCAGTTTTGCAGTAGCCATACACTTCAAGAAGTTTATATCGATCTTTTTGGTATGTTTCCCAATATGTTTCTGTATCATATCATTGCTACTTCCATTATATTGATGACATCCTTCCCTTTTTTCTTGTTACCTTTTTCTGTCCAAGAAATATGCAATGTACTGGATGATCGGACATGGTGATATACCTTTCCATTCGAGCTGAATTCGATTTAAGTAGATATTTTCTGGAATTTTCCATAATATGTATTTTGTGTAATTTTCCATAGCATATATTTCCTAGAATTTCTTCATACAATGTTCAATGATACCGTAATTCAGGTATTTCTCACCATAATTTTAATACGGTAATTTCGATACCGCAATCATGGCATGTAAACATGGCGCCATAATCACAATATCGTAGTCGAAATTCTGCAATCATAATATTTTGTGATTATAATGCCGTAATAGTAATACCGTAATATTTTTAACCATAGCGCCATAATCATAACACCATGATTATGATAATTTTTATTCAGATCAAATTGATGAAAATTTAAAAACGGCTCTACAAAAAGATTTAATAAGAATGGCTCCGGGTCTTTTCGTGCAAGCAGTTCGAGTAACAAAGCCTAAAATACCAGAATCAATACGGCAGAATTATGAGCAGATGTATGCCTTTTTCACTTTGCTGATATAGTACGAGATAACCACTATAATAAATGGAACAGTTAGTATTGTAAGTATATTGGGTAAGTTCGATGTAATTTTAGCATACTATCAGGTGAATGTGGTAAAAACCCATCGTTTAATCTTTGCTTGTTTTAGGGAAGCTGAAAAAACAAAACTTCTTGTAGCTATACAGCATCAAAAGGTGGTTGAGAAAGAAGCTGAAACGGAACGCAAAAAGGCTGTTATAGGTTAATCGTATTGTTTTATTCGACATTTTATTGATTCTGGTTCACTCATTCTTTTTCCTCCCATTCACGGTCGTCTTCACGTAACACTTGTGACGTTTTAACATGTATTTCGTCATCATCATTTTTATGCTAAATTAACTTCCAAATGTTTGAATTCAAGATCTTTGCATGATGTTCAGCGGATAATGATGTGGTTTGGAGTGATTCCTCTTATCTTCTGTACTGTTTGTTATAAAGTCCTAAACAGTGCAAAGTGTTTTTTTCCTTTTCTTTTTCTTCTTTTTTTTTTTTTAATATCCCCAATGAGGAATAACGCATTCGTGACAAAAAATGACATCAAAAGAAGCGGGAGCTAGATGGAAAATCAAATATAGGTTCGATGTCCATGTATATTTCAATCAATGTAGTTGACTTTTAAAAGTTTTGAATTGATTCATTAAAATTGTAGAAGCTGAAAAAGCTGCCCAAGTAGCAGCTATTCATTATGAACAACATATTGCTGAAAAAGAAGCGCAGAAAAGGATTTCTCAGTTGGAAGGTAAATTTTTCGTCGTACTTCATTTAATTCGTCCTATGATGTTGTTGATTTTATTTTAGTTGAATTAAATTGTTTTAAATTTCAGATGAAAGTCACATAGCTCGTGCAACTGCCCGTGCAGATGCTGAATTTTACTCAAGAAAGAAGCAAGCGGAGGGTAATCAATTACTGTTAACCAAGTATGTCTAAAAGATTTGTTAAAATGTTGTCTTCAAATTCAAAGTCGAAGAAAACAGTATTTTATAAATTTGAAACTAAAAAACACTCAAATTTATGTAAAATATGGCTATTCTGGGTGCCACTGTTTTTCATCTTCATGGTTTCTTCATGGTTCTTTTGATGACTGTTGTCGTTATATATTTAAAGTCGATAAATTTCTGAAACATAGCAACTTTTTCTTTTAGGGAATTTCTGGAACTGAAAAGAATTGAAGCAATCGCAATGAATAATAAAATATATTACGGTTCTCAAATACCGAATGCATTTCTAGACATTGATTTTCCATCGATACAGAAACAGTCTGCAAATTGAAGTATTTATGTGTTGTGTTGATGCACTGTCATAATTCAATGTTTGCAGGTAATTGTTTTTGTTTTGTTTTGTTTTGTTTTGTTTTTTTTACTATTCCAGTGCAACAAGATGTGACCATACTGCATTTGTCTGGTCATGTTCAAAATTCATGGATTTTGCAGTGATAGAAGAAACTGTGTTTTGATTATTAGTGGTTAAAATTGAGCTTATCATAATCTCTAAGGTTAAGTGAAATAAAATCTATTTCCGGTTAGTTTCTTGCGATATTTTAGAGAATTCAGTTAGTTGATTCCATTATCGTTGCAAGCCACGTTTGTTACCTTATTAGTTTTATAGAAATAATTGACAAATTCAAATTCACTTCGTGTATCTTTCGTTTTTAATCTTTCCTTTTATAGTTCTCAAGTTTTATTTCATATCTATTATTAATAGGTATTGAGAGAAGATCAATAAAGAGTGAATGTTAGCAAAAAAAAAAAGAACTTTGTTGATTTATTGTAATTTTTACAACATTTGGATGCGATTCTGCATTTTTGGTGTTTTACTGAATTTATTGTCATATTAAGGTATCTCATTGATGAAAGAAATATTACAGGATGCTTTGCTTGTTTTTTTCTCCTTTTTGTTCTCTCATCTGTTTGGTTGTATATCTAAAAAAAAAAAAAAACGGTGATAATGTGACAAGAAAAAATCATCATAAAGTGCAGTAAAGACGCTTCAATACCAGTCAACCGTATCTCACGTTTAATCGTATTACAACTATCCGTTTGACAGCACGACAAACAATTGTAATAAAAGAATTAATTACGCTTGAATAATTATTAATTTTTGTTTTCCTCTTAGCAAGTTCAAAATTTACTAATAAAGAAAGTGAATAATACCTGATAAACCTATTTCCCATATCGAATAAGAATACATTTAACAGCATATGTTATATTACAGTTACGCTCAAACATATATACCTTAATATTAATAACCTGTTGTAATTTTTATATCTGTAAAATTCACATCATTTTCACGTTAAAAAAAAAAAGTCTTCCCATCGAAATTTCACCTATTTCAGGTGCTATCAGTTTTATATGTTTTTTGACTGTTACATTTTGTTTGTGGAAAATTTTATCATTTTTTCTTTTTTTTTTTTTTGGTAAGTAAATTTTTTTGCATGATTCAGGAAATATTTAGTCTATTAGCATGTTTTTATTTTACAGGCTTAGCAAAAATAGTATGTCAACCTTATTGCCTGAAATTAGATGAGCCGGAAAAGGATCACTTTACGAAATTACAGATTGAAAGTTCAAAGAGTAATTTTTGTAGGATTAAATATGATTCTAACTTTTTCACAAAAATCGCTGCATATATTCCATGAATGAGGATACCCATTATGATATAAGGAAATGTTATAAATCATGATGATACATCCAGATTAGTTTCATTCCTGTTGAGTTATTCATATTAACTTTCCCATTCAATTTCATTACATTCAGTTTGAAACTCTAAGTGATTTATAATACTGTAACAGATAAACAGTGAAACAAAATCTTTTTACATTATTACAATTTACTTTATGCAAATTTTATCGCATTTATGTTTCACATCATTTCATTATTTTAAAATTTCAAATACTATTCAAATTAATAAACCAAATATTATCATTTTTATATAATTCGAATCTACATAGATTCATGTGATATCAAAGGTTATAGGGAACATTTATTGTACAAGAGAACAAGAATGTTATTGTTAATCAAAAAATGTCATGCAATAGTTTGTCACTAGTAATTTTGAATCTTAAAATCCAAATTTTATAATTCCGGACATTCTCACTTAAATTTGTCTTGTACTCAAATAACTAATAATAATGTCCTTACTTCATGATTAAGTCCTAAGCCTTGTATCAATTATCAGTGCCGAAAGGTCAAGTTTCTGAATATGAGTGAATGAGCATTACTGTAAAATTTGTTTGTAAGAAGGCGCTATCAATTGATGCGCTGGTGTCTTTGATGTTTCCCTTTGTGCCATTAATTATGAAATGTATTGGACACTTCTGAAAATTAAATGACCTAGCTATGATTTAAAAGGACTAACATGTGAAATATGTCTACCTTTTTTTCTCTTTCTCTTTTTCTTATTTTCGAGGAAAATTTTCAAATTATCACCAATGTTTCATTTCTATTACTTCCATTTTCTGTTTTTCATTTCTATACATTTAGGAAAATCGTACACATTATTCGGTAATTATTGAATAAATTGTTTG